CATGATCGAGCTCCGGCCCAGCCAGCAATAGAAACCATAGGGTGTTGGCACTGGGGCTCCTTCAACACCTCTGACCTTGGTGACCACCCAGCCGACTCCCCGACCTCTGACCTTGGCGACCACCCAGCCGACCTCTGACTTGGCCACATCCCAGTGAGGGCAGAGCCAGGGTCAGATCCCGTTCTTCCCCTCTCTACTCCCCCAGCCTGGCTCATGGCAGCTTATACTAGTTCACACGCATGGAGGTACATTACTTACAGCTATGAAATTAACTCAACCTACATCCCCCTTCTGCTGGAAATATAATCAGCACCTTCTCTAAGCAGATGCGACATCGAGGAGGACATGACACAATTAAGAACCTTGCCCGAGGTCTCATGATTCTTAAGTATACGGGGAGCCAGGACAAACAACAGGAAGGGAAGCACAGTGAATGTAACTGCCTTCAGCTATCAATATGCCTGTAATCAAGGTTGGGTGCCATGAAGTCTGGTGATTAGAAGTCACATGAGGCTGGGGTATTAGTGAAGGGGCCTCTCCCCCCAGGAGCCACTGCACTCATGGCAGTAGGTCACGTGGGCCACCTGCTAGAGATGGAAAATCAATGTGGTAGAAAGTACCTCTGTTTTAAATAAGCTCTCCCGCCCTTCACCCTCCGCTTACAGCAAGAAGCCCTCGTCTTGAATTCTTGCCAACATCCTCTTTTGTTTGCTTAGAATCTCAAGAAGAACCAAACCAACCACAAAAGATTTGCTTCCCCTGAAGAGACCACAGTCACAGAGAAGGAGGCTCCTCTTACACTGAAAATTACACACCTTCTTTGGTTACTCAGTGAGAACATGAGATGATAGAAATGTTTTATTCCCCAGACAATACTCTGGCTTTATCTTGTTTTGAAAGGCAGAGCAAAACTATGAGTACAGATTAGAAAGTCTATGTCATGTCTCATAACAAAAAGTGTCAAAATGTTATGACTTTACCTACACACACTCACAGAGGGCTCTCGGAAGCTATTGATCGGGAGCGCTGCTGTTTGGGACGGGCGTTACGGGGAGAAGCAATGAGGGTGCCAGCTTTGAAGGCACCGCACACGCCGTGGCTCTCTAGCATTGTACCTCCAGTCACTCACGGCCCTCTGCTCTACACATATCTCCCCTCTCCAGGCGTGTTTGCTCTCTTCTATGTCAGTAACCGGTTCCGGACCTTCCCCTTCTCCATCAAGGACCAGTGCATCATTTTCTACAGCGGCGTTCGAGGAGCTGGCAGCTTTTCGCTGGCATTTCTGCTGCCTCTGTCTCTTTTCCCTAGGAAGAAAATGTTTGTCACGGCTACTTTAGTAGTTATATATTTTACTGTGTTTATTCAGGTTGGTAGATTTTATTCTTATTTGAAATAAGTAGATTCTTTCAGGATTGTGCATTAAATTGCTATAATACCAAAAAGGTACACTTTATTTGATTCTCAGACATGATTTTCTATCTCTATATCTTCTGTTCATTATTTTTAGAAATTAGATAATATATCCAAACTAATTTCCCAAATATTTCTAGATGTTTGTGGTATCCTTCAACCTCTAAAATATGTTGGTTTTTAACCAGTAAAATATTCATCAAAATATTCCTTGGTAACAGGTGAATTATCTGTTCAGTGTGTTGCTAAAAATGAGATTCCAATTATTACTCAATAGCACAAATTTTTATTTTAGCTAGCGCTACTTTTTAGCAAACTATTAAGAGGTTATTTTAAGGGAGGAAACTAAACTCCTGCTTTAAAAATATTGACATAATGCCTATTTTTTTACATAATTTAAATGAATTAAATAATAACTAAAGAGTAAAGCATTTAGCCAATAGAAGCTAGCAAAAAAAAAAAGACATAAAAATTGAAAGTTCTAGTAGCTTCATTAATAGACTTGTTCTCTATTATGACAATCTTCACTACAACAAACCCCTTTATTTTGTTACTTATGCTCTAGGGAATCACAATTGGCCCTCTGGTCAGATATCTGGATGTTAAAAAAACCAATAAAAAAGAATCCATCAATGAAGAGCTTCACATCCGTGTAAGTTAATTCTGTCATAATTAGTAAGTTAGTACAATGCGTTCCACTTGCCGCCTCTGGGAGTGACCTAGGGCTTTGATGAAACGTGTGTGCACGTCCCTGGACAGAGCCTCTTTCCTCCCCAGCTCCACCAAGAGGGGCTGCACCAACTCCCTACTGCTGCTGTGAGAAATCACTACAAACTCCGTGGTTTAAAAAACACAAAGGTTATATTTCTGGAAGTCAGAAATTCAAAATGGCTCTCAATGGGCTAAAATCGAGATGTGGTAGGGCTGCATTACTTTCTGGAGGTTTTAGAGAAGAATCTATTTCCTTGCCTCGTCCAGCTTCTAGAAGCTGCTGGCATTCGTTGGCTCCCTGGACCCCATCCTCTTCGTAGCTAGTGGTGGCCGGGCAGCTCTTTCTCATGCTGTGTCGCTCCAATACTGACTCTTCTGCCTTCCTCTTCCATACTGAAGACTGTTATGATTATATTGGGCCATGTGGGTAATTTAGGATATTCCATCTTAAAGTTAGCTTACTGGCAACCCTAAGTCCATCTGCTCTTAATTAAACTTTGCATATGTTATTAATATGTTCACAGGCTCTGGGCATTGGGACACTGATATCTTTGGAGACCATTATTCTGCCAAAGGTTCATGTCTGTTCCACATGCAAAATACATTAGCTCTATCCCAACATCCTAAACGTTTCAATACATTATTTTAACTCAAAGACCAAAAATCTCACCTATCAGTTCAAAAATCTTATCAGTTCAAAAGTCCCAAAGATGATCATCTCAGTCATCTAAATGAGGCACGGATGGGGCCCTGGGTATAACACTTCCTGAGGCCAAGCTCCTCTCCAGTTCTGAACCTGTGACACTCAAGAAATAACTTATCAGCTTCCAAAACACACTGGTAGGAAAGTCATCGGCAGCAGCTATAGATACTCACTTTTAAAAAGGAGGAGAGATGGAAGGACAAAAGGAGTCATCCAGCCCAAGCATATTTCTCAGTTCACCTGGGAAAACTATTTGGTTTCAAAGCCTGAGAACAATCTTCTGTAATTCTTTGTTCCACCTTCTTGGTTTTAAACTCCACCCTCTGAGTCATACTCCTTTTTACATCCAAGGTGGCCTGTTTGGAGCTCATTCATTTGATCAGCCTGTTTCTTGCCTGTAGAGTTTCGGGGATCTCAAAGCCTTCTTTATTTTGTCTTCCCTCTCTCCCTTCTGGTCCAAGCTGGCAGTGTTTCTGAGGAGAAAAGCAGAACCACTAGGAGATAAATATTAAGACCTTTGTTACAAGGAATTGGCTTGTCTATTGTGGGGACTGGCTAGGCATGTCCAAAATCTATAAATAGGTCATCAAGTTCTAAAGCTGGGAAACTGCTGGTCACTCCAATACTAACTCTTCTGCCTTCCTCTTCCATAGTAAAGACTTCTATGATTATACTGGGCATGCGCTATAGCTTCTGTGCTCAAGTGGTAACCTCAGCTCTGCTCTTCAGGCCTTTCAACTGATCAAATCAGGCCCGTGCACATTCTCTAGAGTCGTCTCTTTTATTTAGAGTAGCTGGTTCTGGACTTTAATCATATCTACAAATTGCCTTCTCTGCAATATCTAGATGGGTGTTAATAATGACTGGGGACTTGCCTAGACAACCTGACACTTCAGAAAACTGTCGCTGTGGCTAATGTGGAGAGTTGTCCTACTTGGCTCTGAAGTCCTTGTTCCAGTGGAGCCTGGTCCCCTGCTCTTCCTGATGTTTGGTTAGAAAGGGGTGAAGGCTGCTACTACCTCAGCAGATGGATCCATGGTGGAGTTCAGTGGAAGTATCCACATCTGACAGAGAGGAGAGTGAAGTTGAACATGGCTTCTACCTCTTTATTTTATTGAAGTTCTATGCAATCGTGAAGGGATGTCATTCTATGTGGCTCCAGGGAATAAAAATGAGAACGAATATACGGAAGATA